GAACAATTGATTAAAGGTTTTCAAGCTTTTATTATAGCGTATCAATCATTGAAACAACATTTATTTGTAGTAAAGTAAAGGAGTACTCACATTCATTGATATTCTACAAAATATGAAATTGATTTTATGTCAAATCTTTCTTTTATCAGAGTAATCTTATAATTTTAGAATATCTTCTGATCTGAACAACAGCAATAAGAATATCAGTTCTATTCAGATAAATTCAACAATAAAAATAAAGATTAGTGAAACCGAATGAAAACGTCTAGCAACAGCTTATTTATATTTAGTGTTCATAAATAAATACTTTTTTTTTATAGTTTTATCCAATATTTTGTCTTCTTTTGTTGGCAGACATTTAATATTTTATTTATTTAGGATTTGCAGTCAAAAACTCATATATGAAAATCATATGAAGTTGTTTTTATATTGCATTTCTAAATCATAAGTGATATAAGTGCACTTCGATTAAAACAACCATAAATCAAATTGATATATACGGAAAACAAATTATAATCGGAATTGTAGTTTTCGTAACGATTCATCTAATCATCTTAGATTCACATTGTGCTCGAGCGAGATTATTCGAATGTGTAACATTCTTATCCATTTGTATAAAGTACAACACAGGAAAATAAAATACACTAAGGAACCGACAAATTTAGACTTCAATTTCATAAGTAATTGTACCAGAATAGATATTTGGAATAGCAGTAGAAAGACAAAATGTCCATATTATGTAAATAAATAAAATTTGTTTTCAAAATGATTGCCTAAATATCCAAGTTAAATCAACAGTAATGATACAGCGATATAAAATTTGTAGAACGAACGAACAATTGAAAGTGTCATATACGATGCATAGTTCACACAAACTAACAAAATGCGCGAAGTAAACCTTTATACTCGATCTACTTCGAATCGTTTTGAAGTGTAAATAAAATCAACTAGATGCAATACGACTGACTTCAGTTGAGGTCGTTTTTGAGGAAAAATTAATAAATAAATATGTATAAACTAACTTTTAATTTCGTAAAAGTCAGACAGATTTGATTTTTCTTTCAAAAAGTTGTCAAAGCGAGAGTGTATGAGTTTATTTTTGCGAATAACTTTAAAAAAATTAAATTAGTTTGACAAAGAACTGGTTTCTTTCGTCTAATACGAACTAATGTAAAAGGGTTATAAGTAGTTTTTCCAATATACATTGTCTTTATTGGTCTTGTCCTTACCCAGGTCGAACAATCCCATACTCGGATCCNTTTCTAAACTGAGTCTAACCAATTATTAAGCACCTCATTTCTCTTTCGGATGGTAAAGCAGCAATTGTTACTTTTGACATGTCAAGTCGTATTGCTTCTTCATCATAGGTTTGAGAGATAGGCGTAGTTTCAATTTTAGTACGATTTTTCGCAGCTTCTTTAAACTTTCGAATTTCGATCTCTTCAGGTTCAGGTGGATGACAATGTTCACCATTAAATTCCAATATAACGTCATTCAGATCAGTATGTAAAGTCACAATACATCGCGAATGTTTACAACGATAATACTCTGTTGATCCCACCATTTTGTTGAACTTAAATATGTAATCATTTATGACCAACATTTTATTGCTCTTTTGAGATTTAATGTATTTCTAATAAAGTAAAGGAGTACTCACATTCATTGATATTCTGCAAAATATTAAATCGATTTTATGTCAAATCTTTCTTTTTTATGAGAGTAATCTTATAATTTTAGAATATCTGCTGATATGGACAACAGCAATAAGAATATCAGTTCTATTCAGGTAAATTCAACAATAAAAATAAAGATTAGTGATACCGAATGAAAACGTCTAGAAACAGCTTATTTATATTTAGTGTTCATAAATAAATCTATTTTTTGTTGACAGACATTAAATTTTTAATTTATTTAAGATTTCTAGTCAAAAACTCATACATAAAAATCATATGAAGTTGTTTTTATATTGTATTTCTAAATCATAAGTGGTATAAGTGCACTTCGATTAAAACAACCATGAATCAAATTAATATATGCGGAAAACAAATTATAATCGAAATTGTAGTTGCCGTAACGATTCATCTCATCATTTTAAATTCACGTTGTCCTTGATCGAGATTATTCGAAGGTCTAACATTCTTACCCATTTGTATAAAGTACAACACAGGAAAATAAAATACACTAAGGAACTGACAAATTTAGACATCAATTTCATAAGTGGTTGTACCAGAATAGACAAATGGAATAGCAGTAGAAAGACAAAATGTCCATATTATGTAAATAAATAAAAATTTTTTTCAAAATGATTGCCTAAATATCCAAGTTAAATCAACAGTAATAATACAGCGATATAAAATTTGTAGAACGAACGAACAATTGAAAGTGCCATATAGGATGCATAGTTCACATAAACTAACAAAATGCGCGAAGTAAACCTTTATACTCGATCTACTTCGAATCGTTTTGAAGTGTAAATAAAATCAACTAGATGCAATACGACTGACTTCAGTTGAGGTTGTTTTTGAGGAAAAATTAATAAATAAATATGTATAAACTAACTTTTACTATCGTGAAAGCCAGACAGATTTGACTTTTCTTTCAAAAAGTTGTCAAAGCGAGAGTGTATGAGTTTCTTTTTGCGAATAATTTTTAAAAAATTAAATTAGTTTGACAAAGAACTGGTTTCTGTCGTCTAATACGAACTAATGTAAAAGGGTTATAAGTAGTTTTTCCAATATACATTGTCTTTATTGGTCTTGTCCTTACCCAGGTCGAACAATCCCATACTCGGATCCCATCGGATCCAATACAGAATTTTATCAGATCCTACAGGAATTTGACGGATCCGAAACATGGATTTCCTGGATTTTCTAAGGGTCATCATAGAATATAGTTAGAAAGATCGCTCATAAAATTTGCAACAACCGACGGGATTTTTCTAGTCGGATTCCAATGCAATTCCGTTTCCAGGAATCCGATCGGATTTTGTCAGATGGTCGGATCCGGTAAGATCCGATCG